TATTTCAAAAGTTATAGGGATAGATGATACAGGATAATCATTTTATGCTAGCTGTTGCGAAAGGCTTACATATCCGCCTAGTAATTGGAGAACGCTTTATTGCCTACAGTCAAATTAGATCTTGACAGAGACCGCATATGCTAATTCATTGATTCCAGGCATTCTGCTATGAAGGCTACTCTTATTGCAATAACATGCACCTTTTTCGAATTCTTCAACGTACCTGTATTTTGGCCCATTCTTGTCATGTACTTCATCATCCTCTTTTTCTTGACGATGAAGCGACAAATCATGGTAAGCTTTCCTTTCATTTCTTGAGTAGCCAGCAACGTACGAGTTTATAGCACATGATCAAATACAAGTACATCCCATTCACCGTCGGGAAACCTCGAATGGCTGGCAAAGAGGATACTGGCAAGGTTGTCATTGGATAGGCGGCTGTGCGAGTTATCTTTTAAATAGCCTATATCTGTTTTGTTGGCCCTTATCTAGAGTTTTTGCTCTGCACATGCGTCATAGCGCCGATAGTTTTCACACGCATGTGTTATGATGTATGGGTTTCTTGTTTTCTTTCTGTATTTGGTTTCACTGTGACTCTCAGGCTTCTTAACAGAATGCATAAGTATAAGCGATGTGCCATCTCATCGCTCTAGAAAAAGTTGGAAGCCACCTATTTCGATGAAGCTTCTCATGCAACCAACCGGCAGCGTTTCTTCACCTTTGTGTCGTTATGTGTTAGGAATGTTGTTTTTTGCCTCTGGACTTTATGCCGAGTTTTCGAACTGTGAAGAGAATGTATCATTGTAATAAGTAAGTTATTATATAAAGGTGACAGTTTTATGTCGATCTATGTTGACTAGTCTGTGCGTGAATTCTTCGCTGATTTGTTTTTGTGTACTGCTGACACAAATCACCACAGGAATTCAAATTTGATAGATTAATCAGAGATGCTAACTACACATCTTTTCCACGACGTCTTAGGCCCGCGCCATACTTGATCCGCTTCATCCACTTCGTTACTGGT